GGGGAGCGGGGGTGGGGGCGGGGATGGGAGGGCAGGGCCCAGCTTCCCCGGAAGAGATTCCCCTACTTCCCCGCAGCGTCTCACAGCTGTCATCCATGTCCCACACTGCCTGAGCCTCTCGCCCGACCTTGCCCGCCCGCCTTCACCGTGGGCCTCGCGTCCCTCTCTCCCCAGCCCAGAGCCCCGGCGTGGCTGACCCCCTGCAGCAGGCCTACGCTGGGATGCACCACTACGCAGGTTTCACTTGGCGCTACGCGGCCTGGGGCGGCGGGGGCGGGTTGAAGGGCCCCAGAAAGGAACAGGGAGATTTGATGGGGGGTTAGGCTCTGTTCTGAATCGTCTACCTCCCTCCCCCCAACCCCCCGCCAAAACGACCTCTCTTGGGGTAAGGGTTATGGTGGAACATGGGCCGAATTGGACAAAGGTGGCCAGGCAGATGGGGCCCTCCTCAGGGGATGGCTCCTGGGGTCACTGCCCACTCCCACCTCTGTCTCCAGCAGCCTATCCGTCGGCCTATGCCCCAGTGAGCACAGCTTTTCCCCAGCAGCCTTCAGCCCTGCCCCAGCAGCAAAGAGAAGGTGAGGGACTGGGGGCTGGAGATCAGGGCCTGGTGGGGCTAGACTCAGGGTTCCTCCCCTGAACCAACCTGCTACTGTTCCTGCAGGCCCAGAAGGCTGTAACCTCTTCATCTATCACCTGCCTCAGGAGTTTGGTGATGCGGAACTCATACAGACATTCCTGCCCTTCGGAGCCGTTGTCTCTGCCAAAGTCTTTGTGGATCGAGCCACCAACCAGAGCAAGTGTTTTGGTGAGCCAAGCTCCGTACCTAGGCCTCTCCCACTCCTAACTGCAGGATTCTCTACAGACGCTAAGATCGTTCCTCTATAAGGCAATGATTTCCAGAGACTGAATGTATGGAACAAAGTGGGGTCATAAACCAGTGATGGGGATAAGACTAGGCCAAGAACAAGCCTTATTTCAGGTTTGCTTACGTGGGGAAGTCAGGTGTCTAGAATGCATTCTACCATGTCAGGGCTTTGGAGTCTGGCCAGGGCAGAGGAATCTGGGTGTGGGACCAGAGACATCTCCAATTCCAACTGCAGTTCTGGAGACCAAAATGGGAGCTGCAGAGGGAGACAGCCAACCTATGCCAGGGAAAGACAGAGAAACATTCAATCAATACACTGCCCCCCCCCCCCCCAAGTTGCCTCCTGTCCTTCGAACAATCACATCTTTAGGAATCTCAGGCCATTTTCCCATGTAAGTATAAGCGCACGTCTGTGTGTGCTTGCGTGTACATGCAGACAATACAGGGGTATATATTTGACGGAACTGGCTTGAGGGGGCTGGGAAAACAGGGTGCTGGTCAGAGAGAAAGGAGGCCCTGCTGGTGGTTCTCAGCTAACCTCTCTGCCCCCACCCCCCACCCCACCCCCTGCCAGGGTTTGTTAGTTTTGACAATCCAACCAGTGCCCAGACTGCTATTCAGGCCATGAATGGCTTTCAAATTGGCATGAAGAGGCTCAAGGTCCAGCTAAAGAGGCCTAAGGATGCCAATCGGCCTTACTGATCTGCTCTCACTGACCAGCCACAGAAAGGTGAGTCCCTGATGGGCCCAAGGCAGATAAGGCCTGAGTGATGAGGCCCTCCCAGCTTTGATGTTCCTTTTGGGACATCGAGGGCACCTACCTCTAAGAAAGTCTGGGATAGAGAGAAGAGCCAGGAACTTAGAAGGAATCCTCAGATGCAGATTTTGTGTTTTTCCTTCAATCCAAGGATTTAGATAATTTCGATAACATTCCTTCCCGCAAGGTCTGGGAGAGACAATTACAGCAAAATTCAAATAGCTCTACTCCAGAAATAGCCCCAGGGGCCCATAAAAGTACAGAATTCAGAGGGCTAGCCAGTTCAGTTGGTTAGAGCATGGTGCTGGTAACACCACGGTTCAGTGTTTGATCCCTATGCTGGCCAGCCACCAAGAAAAAAAGAAGAACCCATATGTGGGAGTGTCAGGGGGTTGGAGAATGAGACTAGAAAAGTAGGGCCAGCTTGTGCAGGGCCTTAAAGGCCATGAGTTCGGACTTTATGCTGGAGATGGTAGAGAACTGCTGAGGAGTTTAAGCAAAGGGACAAGATGCAAGGGCTGAGGCGATGGCAGTGAACATGGAGATGAGGGGAAAGAAGCAAACATGCTTGAGAAGTAGGATCTGCAGGGCCTAGTGGGTGATGGGTAGAATTTTCTTCTAGGTTTCTGTCAGAGCCCATGGTCCATACAAAGTTGCCTGCAACTTTTAGAGAACTGCTATCTAGAAGGTCTGCATGGTCCTTCTTCACTTGAGCTACCCCAGGAGCTCTCTGGAGGGAGTGTTGGTCTGGGGTCATCTATCCAGGACTGGGGGTCTGGCTTCAGTGGGCCAAGGCCCTGCTGCCTTGGCCCTGCTGCAACTAGACCACTCCTCAGGAAGAGAGGTCCAGCCACTCACCTGAGATGTCACTGATGGGGCAAGCTGCTCTTCTGTTCTTGCCCTCCAGGGTGATTTTTGCCTTTTTTCCCCCTTTTCTCCTTATCAATTAATACCCAACAACAGAAACTGAAGAGTGAGAAGAAAGGAAAGGAAAAGCACAGAAACGCTTGAGCAGCCCTTCCGGAAGGAGCAGCTGCAGATGGAAGTGGATCGGACCCAAGGCTGGTGCCTGGGGCTCAGGCCACTCTGAGGATTGTTTTTATCAAGCGGGTTGTTCTGTGCCTGCAGCATTAGAGCTCAGGCTAGCAGGGCAACTAGGACTGGCTGAAGATTGACTATCTAGGGGAAGCAGCAGAGGGCCCTGGGGGTGCCAAGGGCTTCTCACAAGGGAAGCCCAGATTTACTTCTTTCAAAACCATATCATTCCTTAGAGTTTAGGGACCAAAGGACTATTGCTTTTTTAAGAATATATATATATATATATATAAATTAAAACAAAAAAACAAAAAACACAAGAGAAACAAAAAAGACAATATAGAGTCTCATAAAGCTGCCTTTAAATATCCCTAGGAGACAGGGTGAAGGAGACCCTTGATATCCCCAGCCTAGGCAGAGGGAGGCTGTGGAAAGATTGTTCTGTGTCTCATTCCCTCTTAAACCACTCCCCACCCTGCCCCTTTAAAAATAATTAAGGACTTGAGGTCTAGGCTCATATGCAGGTAATGAGAGAGTTGTGGGAGCAGTGAACCCACAATCCACAACCCCCAAACGTAGAGAGAACATCCCTGAAGAGTCCCCAGGAGGAGCTCGTACCTGCTCTGGCCTTTGCCATCCTGAGAGGCCCCCTAGCCAGCAGGAGGAGCCTTTCCTGTGGAAAGACTGCTTCCCCAGACAAGAACAAAAAGGGAGGTATGGCTACCTGAGCCTTCACTTCCCAGTCCAGATAGAAAGAGGCCCTGACTTTGGCTGAGCCGAGACACCTTCCTGTTCCCCCTCCCCTTGAGCCAGCCTCAGTGTCCCCTTGCTCCAGGCCACCTTCTGTCTCTTAGTCTAAGTTTGCCCACCTGTAAAGTAGATTCAGGATATGTGTAGATGGCTGTAACAACAGACTTGGAAGGTTTGCTACTGTATATACTGCCATTGAGAAGGGGATAATTTTTAATATGTAGAAGCTTCAGAATTAGAGGTCCCTCTTTACCCAGGACCTGGGAGGGAAGTAGATGTTTTGCCAAAATACTTCTTCATTCCTTTAAAAAGTACATCTTTCCTATGCAAGAGTGTCTCACATGTGCTTATCCAAGGTGCTTCTAGATGGTGAGCAGTGTTCAGCTTAGAAGTGGTGTGTGCTCTGTCTGTCTGTCTTTGTCTGTCTGTTGTATACAGTGGGTGCCATATAAAGCTGATCAATGGTGGTGCTTCCTGTCTGCTTCTGTGAGATGGGCAAAAGATTCTGCTTAGAACACCATGATTCACCTTGCCTTGGTCAGTCTTTCCTGGGCCTGCAGGGCCTAGCACATATTTTTCCCAGGAGGTTAATTTCCCCTCCATCCCACAGACATGGATGCACCTAGTCTGAGGCCCCAGCTGCATGGGGGTCTTTCGGATCCCCAGATGTTTCTGAGGCAGGAAGCCTCTGATCCGATATCATGTCAGACAGTAAAGGATGTGGGGGTGGGGTTGGAGGGTTCCTCCTTCATAACAGTTTCTAAGAAAACTTGTTCCCACCTGTTCCTCTGTCTTTGACTCATTTTTGGAGGGAATGGGAATGAAAAATAGAAATGTCAGTAACATTACCAGGTAAGGTGTGGTGTACATCTTCAAATAATTTCCAGCTGAGAGAAAAACCTGCATAATGTGGACACAGAGACTGACCACCCTGGACACAGAGACATAGCACCTGCACATTCAAACAGATATTCATGTGGAGGCATAGAGTCCCCTCAGTGCTACATACTAAGTGCTGTTCTAGGCGCTAGGGCTTGGGCATATTCCAAGTACTCAGAATTAAGAAGAAAGACAGACCAATAGTACAGTTTTTTTGGTTTTTTTTTGTCTTTTTCGTGACCGGTAAGGGGATCACAACCCTTGGTGTGGTGTTGTCCACACCGCGCTTAGCCAGCGAGCGCACCGGCCATTCCTACATAGGATCCAAACCCGCGTCGGGAGCGTCACTGCGCTCCCAGCGCCGCACTCTCCCGAGCGCGCCACGGGGCCGGCCCAATAGTGCAGTTTTAATAGAGGGCTGCACGGGTCTGTGCTAGCAAGAAGAGTACCTAATTCAGATTTTATTGGTGGGGGAGGACTAAGAAAGGCTTTCTGAAGGAGATTAAGGAGGGAAAGGGTCTTTGAGGATGAACTGGGACATTTGGTCAAAGCCATTTGGACAGCTGCATCATTTTGAAAAATTACCCTTTTTACCAAGAAATAATAATGACTGCCATTTACTCTGTGCCTATTATGTGGCAGGCAATGGGTACAAGACAAGACCCTTTCCCCATTCCTAACTCTACCCTGAACTTTAACTCATTACCAAGTCATGTCAAGACACTTGAACCACAATGGCAAAGTATTCTGTTTCATACTTTAGGGTGTGGGCTAGGGACTTGCAGACCATGTGACTCCAAAGCTTCATGGGTTGGCATGGTCTAGATCAGGGCTTGGCAAACTATGGTCTATGGGCCAAATCTGGCCTGTGACCTATTTTTGTATGGCCTACAAACTAAAAATGATTTTTACATTTTTAAAGGGTTGTAAAAACAAAATAAATCAAAAAAGAAAATGAGACAGAGACCATATGTGTCCCACAAAGCCTAAAATATTTATCTTGTCCTTTAGATGAAAAGTTTGCTGACTCCTGGTCAGATCATAGAAGACTTGTATAATGTCTGATGAGTTTGAACAACATGGTGTTTGTGTTACTGTTTGTGTGTGCATGTATTAGACTGGAACTTTTCAGTTGCAAGTGTCAAAAATCCAACTCGAACATGTTTAAGCTAATAGGAAATCAATTGCCTTATATAACTGATAAATCAAAGGATGTATCTGCCTTCAGGCATGGCTGGATCTAGGGGTTCAAATAATGATGTCTGCATCTCTTGGCTCTGCTTCCTTCTATCTGTTGGCCTCACTAGTTCTAGCTTGAAAATCCTAGGGAAGACTTTGGCCAGCATTGGACATGTCCCTATCTCTAGGGTGGAAGAATAGGCCACCAAAACTGACAACTTCACCAGGACTGAGTAGATGGGGAGAAATGGGTCCCGAAAGAAAGGGATGGTGAGCAGATAAGCAATATGCATCTGCTATATTCCACCCTTTACTGCATCCACCTACACTTTTCTTTCTTTTTTTTTTTCCTTTTTGTCTTTTTTCGTGACCAGCAACGGATCGCGACCCTCAGTGTCGCGCCCGTACCGGACCGGGACCGGCTACGGGATCGC